TGCACACTCCCTCCTTCCGTCTCCCGCCTCCTTTCCTCAGTTTCCCCAGCGGTTCATCCCCGCCCCCAGTTTTGTTCAATAAACCCAGTTTCTATTTTTGAACATACGTGTCTTTTATTTGACATCAGGAAGGGGGGCTAGAGAGGGGTAAGTGGAAGAATGTGAGGGAGGAATGGGGCACGAGCCCCCAGTGGGGAGGATGGGGGAGGTTCTAAGGGCTTATTAGGATGGACGCTGTCCCTCAGGGCCTCCTGGATCCTGACAGCCCCCCCAATGGACAACCCCCCGGATGGCAGCTTGCAGCAAATGCAGCTGGGCTGATGGCAACGACCCCACGAGATGCACCGGTGCGCCCAGGGACAGCTCTGGCTCCATGTGGCTGAGTGCTGTGGTGTCCTGAGTGCAGGTACTCAGGGCACTCCAAGACAGGACTGCTTTGCTGTCCCTCATTGAGGTAGATAAACAAGCGGGGAACCTTGAGAACTGTCTGTCCAGGGTGGGAGTAGGGTCTCTTTAAGCACAGAGCTCAGTTAGCCTCAGGCAGCAGCACCACACATTAAGTCCTAACTTGATGCCCTGTCGGCACTGGTTCCAGCCAGCCTTAACTTCGGTTCAGGGGCCACTTAGTGTGGACGTGCTATTTCGAAATAGCAAAATGCTATTTTGAAATAGTTTTTGTGTATAGATGCATTATTCTGAATTAGCTTAATTCGAATTTACTATTAAGTTAATTCGAAATAGCACTGTAGTGTAGACATACCCAGACAGTGGAGTAGCCTTGAACTGGAAATTAAGCCTGTGCAATATATACAGGAACACTGGGTACAGCCCAAGAAAAGATCCCTCGCTTGCTGGTGGATAGATTTCACTAGACGTCTAACAAACCTTTTCATCTCCAATTCTCTCCATTATCCACCTTCACTTCAAAACCCCTCTGCCTTTTGTCTACCGTTACCCCGGAAAGGGTCTAGATGGGCTGGCATGTCTAATGGGGGAAGCAGCTTTTCCTTCAGGGGTCACTGGGTTTAGCGGATAAAATGAAGATACGTCAAGAATCTTTCGTGTTTTGGAGCATCTATTTCCAAGCAGAGTCTCCTTTGGTGGTGCAGAACCTATTTAATGTGTCCCTCCAAGAAGACCGATGGGCCTTGTGGAGTTATCAGAGAAAACTCTACTGCAGGGGTGGGGAACCTTTTTTGGGCCAGAGGCCACTAACCCAGTCAGGGACTGCACACAAGTGAGAAGCAATAAAGCCAACCAACCAACCAACCACCAACCAAAACAACAACCCCAAAACAAACTCTCACTGATGTGGCCCCTGACTGAGGAGGAGAAAGGCACTCCCCGTATTCTCCTCACACAGCAGAGCCTTCGGGGGCCCAGGCTAGTCAATTCTGTGTGCTACAACCTCACAGGGGTTTGGAGCATGATTGTCGGTGCCCTAATACTGGGGGAAGCCCAGAGTCTCAGGGGCTGGATCCGGGCAGGCTGGGGGCTACATCCAGCCCCTGGGCTTGAGGTTCCCCACCCCTGCTCTACAGACTGTATCCTGCTCCAGTAATTATTTGTTAGAGGTTTTGTTCAACTTCCTTATGTCACACCCTTCATTGTGTTTTCTAATCGCTGGCGATCACCCTTTGCCATTTCCTAAGGGCATCTGTCCTTTCCTACCCAGCATCCTCACAGGCCACCTTGTTATACAGATCACTTGCTAGGGATGAATGTCTAGGGCATTGCTGAGGAGATTTGCTTGCAGCACAACTGCTGCATAGGACTTGCAAGAAGACTTTATTTTCTTCCCTCTGGCTGTCTGCAAACCCACTGTAGGTGGGACTGTTCTGGAAGGCGTGCAGCACAGTTAAAGCAGAGTGAAAGCTTTTTCACTGGGAGGCGTCTCCAGCTTATTTTGTGGATCAAGTCACTCCGAGTTAGGAGAAGAACCATACAAAGTGGGAGAAGTAGGACATCTGGCTCTTACACTTCCTCTCACCTGCAGATAAGCATAGTGCCCCTCATGGCCAGTAAAATCTAGTGGGGAGGTTCTGGGTCCCTTGCAGGTGGAAAGTGCGAGCGTGGTGCTATTCCTTGGGAAGGGTATTGACAATGTCCCTTACACCACTGGATGTCTGATCACCAGGGGATGCTGTAAAGGTCTTCTCTTTGCTCAGACTTTTGTGTGGGTGCATGAAGGGAGGGATGAAGGTGTTGGAGATGGAGCAGAATCTGAGCATGTGGCTTTCCTCCTTTTGAGCACTGGCTGCAAATATCTTGGCTTACACTTGGTTTATAAATAAAAACCTCCCTGGGTGCTGGCTGTATTATTCCTTCCTTCTTACTGATAGTTTATGTACCATCGAAACTTGGGCAATTGTTTGTGCATTACAAAGAAGGTGTTGGAGTGGTACAAATGGCAGCAGAAATGCCTTCAGCAGCACATGCTGGACTTGACATCTGCTCAGGCTGGCCAGGTTTAATGGGGGCTTGGGAATTTGGAGGTGGGGCTGGGTTTGCAAGTCATGCCCGTTGGGAGTGTTTCACTAGCCCAACATCCTGGTTGAAGAGTCTGAGCAAGGGTGGCTATTCATAAAATTGTAGGACTGGAAGCCATCTAGTCCAATCCCCTGCCCTCATGGCCGGACTAAGTATTACCTAGATCAGGGCTACTCAACATGTGGCCCACGGCTGCCCGAGGTGCAGTTTGGGTTTACGCGGGGCTCAACACACAGTCCGCGGGTGGGAACCAAAACAAAATAGGAGTCAATATAATGGTCTTCTGTTGATATGTGTATTAGTAGTTAAATTCCTGGACTGTCATTGCTCATTAAAAGTGCTGGCATATGGGTGGAAATCGGGTAAATATTGCATTTCATTAATATCAGCAGAACTGACTTAAATGGGTCCTGTGTGTTGTGTAGTCATGCCTTAATCTTTGTATTCATGCCCGTCAGTGTGAAAGAAGCTATTCGCATATATTTGCATATATATGCAACCACACTTAAGTTGTGGCCCTCAGCATGTGCTGTGAGTATCCTTGTAGCCCCCAGAGTTTCCACAGTTGAGTAGCCCTGACCTAGATAATTCTTGACAGGTGTTTGTCTAACCTGCTCTGAAATATTTCCAATGATGGAGATTCAGCAGTGCCCCTGGGCAATTTATTCCAGCGCTGGAGAATGGGAAGGATTGAAAGTAACCACAGGTTACAGGGCGCTGTTGTGCTAAGAGCTGTTTCAATACACAGCACCTCGTTCCTGCCCTGAAGAACCTGTAGAGAAGACAGAGAATGGGGAGGAGAACGAGTATTATCTTCATCCCACAGAAGCAGGGATGCAGTACAAGGTGAAGTGATGAGCCCAAGGCCACGCCGGCGGAGTGGGCAGCGGGTCAGCTTCTCAACTCACACTAACCCTGCCACCTCAGGAGCACTGGAGGTTCATTCCAGATGCTCATGCTCTACCTTGTTTGGAAATCGCCTTTATGGGATGTTGTGGTTTTGACTAGGCCCCACGTAGTACCAGAGCCAGTATCTCGCATTGCTCCCCGCTTGGTGTTTGCACCTCCCGCCTGCTCCACATCAGCCTCCCTGCCCTGCTGCTGCCCCTGCAGCCCTGGCCCTGACCCCGCCCCCCACAGCTCCTGCTCCAGCATCTCTATAGCCACTCCCCAACACAGTGGCTAGCTGGCTGCAGGTGCCACTGGGGAGGAGGGGGAATATGGAGAATTGCCAGCTGTTCTGTG